TGCTGCTTCCTTCGGTGAACGTTTGTTTTCCCTAATACGGACTTGCCTTCCGCATTCCTTAGCTGCTGTGGAACCTTCCACATTCATTCCGTGCTGCACAGTTCGACAGAACCCTTCTCAAAAATGCGGTGGACGTGTTTTTTTCGTTGATAAAAGTTCTGCTGCTGCTCAGTTCAACCTGTTGCCTTCTTTTCAACAAAGATTTTTGTACTGTTCAGTTGGGCGGACCTGACATCACCGAACTTACATTCCACATTCATTTTTGCTGCTCAGTTCGGGGTATGGCGTTGATGGTTTCTTCAAAGGTAGGCCTGAGAATTTACTCAGCGAGCGGTCCAACCTTGCCTGGCGGTGGCGATCTGGAGAACGCGTCGTAGACAGCACCGCATGCTACGATATTTGGCACATGGACTGAATGTGTTGTGTGTTTCGGCGATTTTGAGAGCTATGGTGCGTGGATTTCGATGAACCTGGGAATTGTCAATCAGATCAGGCCCCAGTTACGATGACGACCCTACAGCCGTGGGGGGTTCGACAATCGAAGTCCCGGACACACCGAGCAGCACTGATAGATGGAGTAGATGGAGGGGGAAAATAATAGAAGTCGGTCGGTCCCACCGTTTTCGAGTCCCCTCAGATCGTATTACCACCGTATACGACACAAGATAACACACCCCCTGGACCGATTTTCAAAGCTACACTTCTCAACAGCAAAAAGAGTCCCAGCGCCGAAAACGGTGGCGTTGAAGCCGTCTCGTCGAGAGCATTCCGAAAAGGTATCGTTTCGTTTATGCATTCTCTTCGTCGCCGAGTAATCGCAATCTTGTGTCGTATACGGTACTGTACGTGTACAATGTAGTCATGTAGGGAAACAACGTTCAGCACACGGGTTACTTTAGTGTACCGCTGAAGCCTATTCTAGAATGAGTTCGGAGATCAGAAAGGCTTCGCTTAATCGAGACCTTTCTCGAGGGCGACAGGGTCCACCCCCACCGCTCTTCCACCGTGCCTGCAAATTCAGGGTGATTTTATATCAGGTGAGAGAGTGCGGAAAGACTATCATAGAAACACGCGCAACAACTCCCGCGAAAAGGGTTGTTTGCAGCAGAAGAGATGCAGTTGTACCTTCTCCTTGGTTGTGCCAAGAAGCTTGCGCAACTGGTGCGCTAGGCCGTCGTATGCGTAGGATCATCAAATCTTGCACATTGAGAGGTTAGCCGCGAAATAGGCAGCCCTCCGAACGCGTTTTTGGTTGTGAGAGGCTCAACACCGATGTTCCACAGCGCCTCTGGAAGCTCACTTTGGGCTTGACTTCGGGTCGGGTTAAGGATCGAAGATATCTGCCCTCGCCACCTGCCGGGTTATCGCCGACGCTACGGTCGCCCGGACGAAAGGTTGTCGTAGGCTATGTAACCGTTAACCAGGTCAGAGGCTGGGAGTCATGACCCCTCCAGGTTCCGTGGAGTTGCCCGAGAGTTGCACATTCCCGGCCTCTTTTGTCGCGTTGCATACGGCCTGCGACCGACCATAATGTGTGCCGGTGGCCACGCCTGTGGAGGTTACGTTGGTTTCGTTGCCAGGAGACGCGTTCACGATACGGGCACTCTGGCGAATGCGCGGATCGTGTACAAGTCATTTTGCGAGCGTCAAAATCGGTCCATGAAGGGATCGGAAACGATGCTTCGCGGTCTACGACGTCGGTAGGCGTCGCGAAGAAGTTAACCTGCAATTATAACGGAACGGGAGGGTGCCCCAGCAGGCATGGTGGAAATGAGGGCTTCGAAGTCGCAATTGAACTTTTTATTTGCCACGTCGACCCACCCCGAATGTATTGGATATCTGAGAGGGACCACATTGGGCCACTGGGCGCCGCGTTAGCCTGTATGCTCATCAGCTTTCTGGTCTCATGGCACGTGAATAGCCTTCATGTGCGCTCATCGTCTAGGCTTTGGCATTTGTGACGACTTTTTCTAGATAACACCCCCGTCGAATTAGCGCTTTCCTCACTCCTACCCCTCCAAGTAGTGTATTTTCGGCTGCAATTCCAACCGTGATATTGTGACTCCCGTTCATACATGAGGTACATAGTTCACCTGGTCGACTTCCGCTTCGATTGCCGTTATCTCGCTACTTGCCCTGCACCTTCCGCACCTCCAAGGGCTACCACTCCGAGGAAGTGTCAGAGTCGGTTAGAGAGTCCGGGAGCGTGTTACCCGGCACACCGCACCCTGTCTACAATGGAGCGTGTGGCATTTGCCACCTCTTTCGCTAGTGCGATGTGCACAGTCGGGGTGGCCGTATACAAGACATTCTTGGGTGGTCCACCGTACGTGGAGGACCCACCGAGCTGCAGGATGGGCGAGGAATGTGCTTGCGTCGAAGGAGGCGGGCCGGTCGTCATCACAATGTACGGCACCCTGGCAATAATAGGTCTGCTCAGTAAGGCTTACTATACCCGCAAGGGTTTCGGCGACGTCGCGGTGGACAGGGCCATGTTCGAGGTGTGAGCGCAGGGTGCGCGGGCCGTTAGGTTCTTTGGCCCACTGCTATCGCTGATCATTTTCTTCTTATTCATGGGGCTCTTCGTCGTCGCTAACTTTGTCCTGGTTTGCGATGAAAGCGCCACGCTGTGGGTACCATTCCCGCTGTTTATCGTGGTGGGTTTCGGCTCTAACCCCAGAATCGCCCTAGTGGGGTCTTCCCTTTGCTGGGACCCAGCAGCAGACGCCTTGACCAGGCTGTACCTCCTGCTCTTCGAATTGACCGAGCTGTCCATCTTCTTCGCCGCCATCATAGACGCGCGGGTGGACAGGGATTGGTTGCGTCTATCCTTTGGTGTACACCCCCTTATAGAGAAGTTGGAATACTGCTTGGTCGACGCGGATGTTGTGGAAGTCGGTGGCTAGCGACCCTAGGGACGCGGCCCGCGAATGCAAGAAAGACTTTGCTATCTGCTTATACTTCCACATTAGTCCGCCTCTTGTCACGGGCAAGGATAGAAAAAATTCCCAGGCGGCGCTGAAGAGGTCCGGATTCACCTTCATGTCATAACACACTTGGCGTCAAACGATAGCGCCACTGTTTACAGTTGCCGCCCTTATATCGTTTGAGTTGTAGGCTGTGATCGACTTCATTTCTCTGACCAAACGGGGAGGAGCTTTTTATTCCCTGTGGCATGGAATCGCTTTTTCTGGTGTTTTCACGTATTTGTGCTTTAGTTGAATTTGTGTTCACCTTCTCTCAATGCGGTGCTGCTGTGCTGTTTGCGGAAATCAATGGGGGGGGGGTGAATCAGAATCCTCGACGCAGCGCAGGGAGATTTGTCTCTGCTTCCTGATTCATGAGTAATACATGTGTGCTGCGAGAATTAACCCTTTGTAGGTCAATCCCTCGTTACAAGATGGCGGGGAAAGTAGCGAGTGGAGGTCTGTTTCACTGTGCATATTTTCAGTGAGTTTTTGATGAACAAAGTTTGGAACGTTGAAGGAAGCCGGCTGCGGGCCACGCACGAGCAGAATATCATATTTGACGATTTTTTGGACAGTAGTATCTGCTGGCCGCGTATATGAAAATATGTCTATGCATGCATGCATTTGTTTTTGTATGCCAGTATTTGGGTGGATGGTCGCAACAAGGTATATCATGATATCTTCGCGTTTTATACCCGCGGAAGCATGAAGAAGGGAGATTTCATGTGACCGGTTTTCAGTTTTCAGTGTACCTTGAACGAGGGCAGCTAACTAACAGGCATCAAACGTGGAAGATATATTTTTCTATCTTTTGAGCTTAGCAGAGTCTTGATTTGTAGTTGATTTGGGCTGTTTTCGCTGGGGTTCCCACGGCAATAGTCTCGATTTATCCTACCAATAGGGCTTTCTTTTTTGTTGTTTCACTGAAGTCATTTTTTGTATTTACTAGTATGCGATTTCGAGGATAGGCTTGGCATGTTTTGATAATTCGTCTGTTGAGGCTTCTGGTGCTTCCAAGACTTTTCGGGATGATCTACGAATGTATGGGTAGACATTGATGTTCTGAGTACTATGTTGTTGTACTGTGATATGCCCTGCTTCACAACAATAATCGCCTCGAAGCTGTGTGGAACTTGTTGCTGCATTCCTTTGTTCTCTTGTTGGTTTTGCTCTACATCATCGCCTTGCATGTTGCAACCAGAATCGAACAGAAACCAAACCCAAAACGCCCACTGAGCTGAACGGCACATGACTCGGCACAGAGCCTGAATCTTGCAAGATGTCATCGCACAACATCTGATAACGCCAAATATACATGTATGTAACGCACGGCCACATGGATGGCTACCTCCAACCAACGTAACACGTTTGAATGGTTTCGTGTGGTTCTTCTATGCAATACATTCTATACGGTAGACCATACTGGACTGGACTTGAGCATACACTAAACACCCAACTTGAAGGTAAATCTCGAGAATACCGGCGTGCAGACACGCCCCGACACGAGCAGCTCTTCACGACACACGTTGATCTACAACAAACAAAAAGTAGGGCTACCCACTCGAACGTCCCCCCCCCCTCCCCGCGTGTTCCTCTAAACGGAGCTTGACTAACGATATCCCACAGAGATATTTGGGCACAACGTAACTCACCACAACTCCAACTGGAAGTCTCGAGCATGCCGACGTGCGATCACGCCCGGACACGAGCAGCCCTCATCGACACAAATCCATCTACACATATTGGTGGCAGGGCTTGTATCTACTCGAATTTGTCGCCTCCCCACGTGTCCCTCTGAAAACAAAACGACTGGCGTGTCCAAAAAGCATCAACAAGACGTACTCCCCACAACTGCATCGGGTCAATGAAAATTAATCGACGAAATTCACTAGCGATCTCCTAAAGCATTTTTGGACACAACCTAGATCACCACAAAACTCATCGGGCCGGCCGATGAGAATCAAACACACGGCTCACTCAGATATGCTGTTCCCAATTTCTGTGAAAGCCACAAAGCTCGGTTCCGTGAAGGGTGGCGGCACGCACCTATTTACACCCGCGTGCGCTCAAACGCTCCCCGGCTCTGGATGCTTTGAAACGTCTGAGTTTTGACTGGCTGTCGTGAATCAGGCCCAACCTAAACCTACCACTTGCCTGGTACATCAGGCAGTCTACAAAATGATTCCCCCCAACTGATTTCCCTCCCGTGGCGTTGATCGTCTGGGAACTGTTCTCCCGTGGCGGGGGCGGAGGCGGACTGTCTTGTGGAACGGCCGTACTTGATCACGAACATGACATGTTTGTTCGCCTGCTTCATGCGCTCCTGGTGGGTACGGACATTGGGGTCGTTGTCGGTGGGCGGAGCAGGGGGGTGGGTGTGCCCTGGGCATGCGTGGAAGCTGCTAAACTGTTGTTGCGGTCGGTGGCAGCTCTTGACGGTGTTGTTGACATTTCCCACCCTTTTTTCACTCTTTGCGCTGATTGCATCCGTTTCGGAAATAATCGTTTACGTTCCCTTTGCATACCCCATCACACTACACCATGATCCCGACCTACTTGCTCTCCAAATCAACCATACGCAGCCTTCAACACGGACATGTCTGCTCCCGAACGATAATAATTACGGTAAACACCGAGCGGGAGGCGCGTTGTGGCATGGACCAACGTTGAACACAGACATCCACGTTCTACCTGAAGTGCCGTGTGTCCCTCACGGGAATTCCTCCGACAGGCAGAGGCTGTTCTTGTCGAGGAAGGCGTGGATGGCGGTCACGAGGGACACGCCATGCCTAGCGAGCTTTCGGATGCCTACCCTCAACAGTCAAACCAGGTGGCAAAGTACCGTTCAACGTCGACATGCGGGAGGAAACGGCAACGTCACGCCCGGTGCATTAAACGGAGGGACACGATTCGAGCGGTCTTGAAGGCCCGGCACGCGTGGATACGATAACGCATGACACGTGGATGTTCTATACCTACAATACGAGTAGGCGCGCTGGCGGGGTTAGGGATTTGGTTGGGAGTCATGCCACAATGGGGGTTGCACGTGTTGACCCCAGACTCGTCATTTAGTATTGGGGTTCCATAGATGAGCAATTGGCCCTTATTTCTGCAGCATCACGTCTGATATTGAATTCGCTTTGTGATTCATCTATTCGGCCATTCGGATAAGTTATCGCCTAGTCTGTCTTTTTTACTTATGTCAGTGCTCATGCTGAGATATCCAGTTTCTCGCTTCTCAAGCCTCAGAAGCAACTCGTGCACACCAACGGTTGCGTGAGTCTTGCGGGTGAACGGACAACGGACCCACCTCGCCAACTCCCAATGGTGCGCAGCTCCTCCTGAGTGACTGGCACCTTGTTGACCAGCTCCTCAACCTGAAGTATTCACGGGGATGTTGCATGGACATGGCGAACACCGCAAGGTTAAACCGCCGCAGAGGTTTGAGAATAGCACGAGTGAAACAGCTTGGATGGATGTTCAAGTTTGTGCGCGCATACTGAACGGCTTTTGTGTCTAGTCTTGATTGGGCCCAACAGCGTATGTAATTGGCACCGACATGATCATTGAGAAAAGGCCGAACCATTCATTTATGCTGTCTTTCTTCAGAAGCTCCAGGCCAAGCTAAAACAATGAGCTAAGAATGTTAGGCAGGATAAGAATAGCCGTGTTACAGCGGAAACACGTCAAAAACAAAGAGCAGTGCCAACCTCGTTGTCCGGGAGGATGCACAAGGCGTGACTGTCCAGAGCCTTTGCTCTCCCCTCGCGCCACTCTGTTAGCGCTCGCTTGAAACTTTCCCGTTGCGGCTTGGTCATCCTCCTTGGCGCGTGGCGCGGCATACGCAAGAAACGCGAAGGGAATCTAATGAGATTACGTGGCTGAGCGTTGTGACACTTGACACATAAGCTTCCGATATTCCAATTTCGAACTTCCGATATTCCAATTTCGAACTTCCGATATTCCAACTTCTAGACAAATGGCAATCACGGAATATGCCACGGGGGCTACCGCGGAACCCGCAATAGAATATGGTGCCGTGGAACCTCGTAGAAAATTATTCATAGTAGCTTCAAGGGCCTCTTTGGAAGCTTCTTTGGAAGTCATGGACGCGTCCACATGGACCCTTTTGAAAACACGTGCAAAAACCACACCTGGAGAGGTACAGAGGGATTTGATGTATCGTGAACGGTACGTGTATCTAAACGCGTTCGACAAGACACGGCACATACCTGACGTTGGTTTTCGTGTTTGCTCCTTGTCTGTTCAAGGCGGCAGAAAGGTTTGTGAACCTGGGGCTGAGGTAGCTGCCGTTGAAGATCTGTGAAACACGCACCGGAATCAGCAACGTCAAAGTCGGAAACACTAAACGCATGTTGTGCGACCGCGTGTTTAAAAAAAACACTCCCCCCGGCAAGCCCTATGAGCGGTGGAGGTGACGAATATTTACTATTCAACATTTCATGTACGTGCAACACGTATTCCAATAGGTGCTTGCGTCGAGTGCTCGCAGTGAAGGACCTTAGAAGTCGCACGGCCAACTATCGACAAAGAGGGCTAGCACTCTTGTCGAAACCCGTCTCTGTCTCGCCCATGACTTGCCCGGGCAAGTATGTGGTGTGAAATGTCAAACCAATGACGCAAAGAGTCACGGAGCATCGTCGATCATTTTGAAACGCTCCCTCTCGCTCTAGGGCAACTCGGACAGGGAAAATCTGTGATTGTTTTCAATTCGTGAAGTGTGAAACCAATGACGCGAAAAAATCAAGCTTGAGCATCGCCGAGCTGCTATGTAGCCGCCTTCGCCAAGGACGTGCCTGATGCTCGGACCACCTCGTTTCCTGCTGTTCCCTCTGGTGCTCATGCCACTGGACCCACAACGCCGGAACGGCCGTGAGATCGCCGTCCGCGGCAGAAATGGTGTCGAGCCGTACGCCGCCCCAATCTGTCGTCACCCCCGCCTCCGCTGACGACGCCGATTCACGTTCCGCCGCCTGAAGAGCCCGGATCGATTCAAGTTCCGCCGTATCCGGCCCCCAGTTCCGAATAGCGGCCGTCGCCTGTCGAACCGCCTGCTTGACAAGCACCTCATCTATATCGAGGACGGGCTTCCCATGCTGCTGCCCCGTCCGTATTTTCCGGTTTTGATGGTGGTCCTCACGTCGAGTGTACGGCGAGACGAACGACGATGGTCGCGGCCTGGTTAGACTGCTAGGCCTGGCGTTGCGCAATTGTTTCCATGGCAACCAGCTGGCCTCCGACAACGGTCTGATTCTCCCACCAGGTGACTGCAGCAGCGAGCCCGATTGCCCCGCGGCCAGACCGCCGTTTCCGGTGCTGAGAGGCAGTGACGCCGGCTCGGTTTGGGCCATCGGTGTGGCGGCCCATCTCTCGTCCTCCTGGCGCTCCTGAGGCTCGAGCTGCCGCTGAACATCCGGCATGCTAATCTCGGCGCCACGCAGTGGCCAGGTAAGATCATCTGTTCCGACGTCGATGAGTACTGCTTGTTCCGACACCGCAGGCTCCGTTTGGGGAATCAGAGTGGCAGCCCGGTTCTCGTTTTGTTCCTGGGGCTCGAGATTCGGAATGCCAGCTCCAGCAGGACACCCTTCTCGCACCAGATCGCCTGTTCCGACATCGACAAGTACTGCTATCGACGCCGCCGGCTCTGCTTGAGGAATCAAAGAGGTGGCCCCTGTCTTCTCCTGCCAAGGCCCCTGAGACTCGAGCTTCAAGTGAGCATCCGGCATGCTGGTCACAGCAGCGCCCCGTTGCTGAGCCTCTGCAGGGTAGCCAGGGCCCTCGCGCTTCTGCCCGGTCCCGAGATGGCAGTAGAGTAGAGAAATGGGGGATCTCAGAACGGGCACCAACAGACAGAGCGTGTGCCGACAGGGAAGACGTTGCCATGATTGACTATGTACACTGTAGCATGAACCAGACACATGGACCCTTGAAGCGACAGGCTCGGGACTACAATGAAAGCATAACTGTCGTACAGGCCTCAGTCGCTCGGGTAAAATTGAGATCGACACTTCTTTTTAAAATCAGCACGAATTCAGGCGAAGCTTCGGAAGGCATGACGGACGTTATCACGGTTGTAGCTTTCCGGCCTTTGTTTAGTGATATTGAAATAACTCCGCAAGCGCAACGAACGTTTGATCTTGTTCAGGGAAGCAGGGTTCGAAACAAATTGCTGTTTGGTGTTCTACGCCGACAGAGTGATCTTCTTGTATCGCGTGTCGCTTCTACGTAGACGACCGACCAATCATTACTCATTTTCTTAGTCAAAGAGGATCGAGGCCAACATTTCTCCAGCGATAATATCGTCACATCCTTACGACCGATGGATGGAGGCAGGGCTAAATGTTTATTTGGCGAAAAACATCAACTACTGAAGGACCGAGGTTAGTGTGTGTCGTTTCAAAGGATTGAGGTCGACTGGCGGACTTCCAAGAAGCTCCGCGTTCCCGAAGGGGCGATGAGGTCCACCCACAGCCAGTACCACTCGTTGGGCATTGAGAAACAATACGCGTAGCATACAACTGATTGAACTGCTGCACGGGCTTGACCATCGTGTTGAAGACAACATTACTGGTGCAAGTGACCACAAAAAAACTGATATATGTTGCGGCCATCGAAGGGCGGTATGAAATGAAGCCTACTCAGCAGAACAAGAAGGTATGCTTCGAAATTCTAAACGACCTCGGCCTCAACGTACGAAGTCGCCGGCGCCCGTGTAGAAATCAATCGACCGCATCAGCAGAGAGAGGTAGACCAATCAGCGCTATCGAACATTGAAAATGAGATGCTCACAGCACGAGAGAATTCACACGTGTCGCCACCTGCTCCTCCGCTCTGGTCCGAAGAAAACTCATGACCCTCTCCGGATGGGTCGTGCACACGCGGTTGTACTGCCAGGCCGATCCCCATCCGCAAACACCGTTTGCGAGAAACGTTTCGTGCAGCACCTGTCGGCGACGGTTTTCGGCAACACCATGGGGTGCAACCGCAGAGCTTCAGATACACATCGTATTTAGTGCCACGCGGACCCAGATCATGGAGGGAGCGAGCAAACTAGCAAAGGGCTATATTTGACTCAGAACTCCAGATCCACATCTTAGTGCCACGCCGACACAGATCATGCAGGGAGCGAACCGAACAAGTAAAGCACTACATAGACTAAACGGCGATCGAACTACTTCCGGTGGGTCTCGGAGGATATCAGTTCTCCAGTGAGCGAGGCTGGCCATCAAGGAGTAACCAATGGTGGTCGTCTCATACCCGCACCCGCAACTCTTGAGGCACGTCTTGCAGAGGGCCAACGCGCTCCTGGACATTCCGCAGACCAGCGTCGAACACCGCCCGCCTGAGCTGCCCTGACTGCCGCGACTGCGACTGCGACAGCACCTGCGCCTGCGCCTGCACCTGTGCCTGCCCCTGCGCCTGCCCCTGCGCCTGCGCTTGCCCCTGGGGCCGCTCTTCTTCGCGTGGATGGTGAGTCTGGGCTTGGCCAGCACGATCATCCTGTTGGGTATTCGAGAGCGCGGAGACCGAGTCTAAGGCTCTTGCTCCTCCTCCTCCTCCTCCTCCTCCTCCTCCTCCTCCTCCTCCTCCTCTCCCTTCCTGCGGCGACAAGGGCCGCGCCAGGTGCACCCCGCCCGGCGTTCCGGTCTCCAGGCCGAGCGGCCACAGTGATGGTACCTTCCCTTGTTCGGCCGGACGTCTAAACCCCACATCCGGTAATTCATCCGACGGGGCCCCTTCTTGCTCGGCCCGAGCGGTGTCAACGCTCACCCGAGAGTAGGATAACTCGTCGTGGTTGTGGTGGTCATGCTGCTGTTCTTCGTGGTGCTCTTGTTTCTGTTGCTGTACTGCTGTATCCTGCTGATGGGTGTACAGGGTGCTGTTCTCGATCGTGAACGGTTGTTGAGCCTTCCAAACGGCATCGGTCTCACGAGCCTTCTTCGGCTGGCAGAAAGGTCACCAGTCGCGCCGAATGGTGGTCGGAACGAAGAGGACGTAAAGGGGATCGAGGTGTAGATTGCGGACCGGGACAACTTCAACGCCGATGGTCTTGAGTGTCATCGATCAGGGTGACATGGCCAACGCATTGTCATTTCGTCATTTGTGACTGTGTAATTTAGACACTGACGCCCTCGGGCTTCTGGGGTTCACTTCCTTGAGTCGATATATAACAATAGAGGTTGTTGAAGATGGACGCGAAGGGCAGTTTCCTCCCACGCAGCACGCTGGTATCCGTTTAGCACCAAGTAATACGTTCCAGCCAATCAACGACTGAGTGCTCTTTTCATTCACCTGTCCTTCTTCTGCCAACTTTTGCACATCGAAAGGAAGAATGTGCAACTCGTTTTGCGAGTTGAGGGCATGCGTTCACTGCGGCAACAGCGCAAGGGGTTCACAGCGGGATGAAGGGTTGAAGAGTCATCAACCACATTCCCCAATTGCCTTTACATAAATCACGCCTTACGCGAGTAAAGTTCCGGTCGACATGCGATGGGCATGGAATGGACCCGGCAATACGACGAAGGGGAGAAAACTGCGCCCCTGCTCCCACTGCTCCTACCTTCTGTGCCGCCTGACGTACCGGGCCGTACATGTTTGACGTGGCCGAAATGAATTTGGAGGAACCGTCCACCACCGAGGAGGACAGTGAGTGACACGGACTGTGGAAAGAATAAGTATGTACGACGTCGGGGGAGGAGGTGGAGGAAACCTTGAGAACGACGCGAGATATGGTAATGGTCGCCGCGAGCACAATGTGTGTGTAGAACAAGCCTCACATTCACTACTAATGAATATCCCGCTTCCGACGGCATGTGGGCGGCTGCTGGAGAGCAAGAATGTTCTTGCTTGGCTTTTGACCGAAGTCAACCAGAAAATGACGGGGAAACTATCACCTTCTCGTCAAGTAAACAACAGGAAGAAAACTGTCGTCTCAAGCCTAGGATATAGATAGGGGGGCGTGTCTTACGAGAGAGAAGCCTGAGGACATAATTTCTCTTGAGTTCTACAGCACTACATATTTCGTATCTCCCCCTGGTCGGCAGAGGGTTCTGCTGTTGTTTCTGAACCTACTTCGGCCGGAGCCCGGTCCCAGCATTCGGACGGAAAGTGGAGCGGCAGTGCCCGTGTGTGGGAAGTATGCGTTAGCTTGTGGTTTGCCGTGTGTGGGTCTTAGTATTGTGGGCGGCTTCTTGTGGTACTGGGGGTAGGCCTACAGTAGTGGCCGCTCGGCGACAGGATACGAAGTTGACGTGATGAGCTAGTTGTCTTCAACAAGTGCGCTGCCAAGGTGTAATGAACCATGCTTTGTGGGGGCTGGCGAACATACGACCAATATCATACGTTTCGCGTCCAAGGCAATAGCCGGAATGGGGACTTCAGAGAACGAACGGAGAAAAGCGCATTGATGACATGGGATCGTCCTCTGAAGGCACGATCTTCTAGACGCCTTCGTACCGTGTACTGTTGACACGTAGACACCTTCTAAATAGGCCACATGACTACACGTGCATTCAATACAAAATGTGTTTTACTTTCTATTGTTGCTGACGATGGGATTGATGTTGTCGGTATCCTTTGCTCCCTGAATTTCAGTCAATACTCAGTATACGATCCTTGACACCATTATACTACGATGCTGGAGGAGACGGCGGGTTCAGTCTGCATGGGCCTTCATTTAACATTTTTCTAAGCAGCGGTTACGCCACATGGAGACCCTAGCTGGACCTATCGCCATTCCTAAGTACAAGCTTTCATGTGAATTTTCAGCGGTAGTCGGGGTCAACGTAATGCGAATTCGGCTGTATGTTCAGTGGGTGTCCTGGTCACTTGTGTGACCAATGAACAGCACAGTGTGTACTTGATTTTCTTCCCAATATTTCCCTTCCTCAAATCTACATACCCTACACACCGTCTTGGCCCTCTAATTGCATAACTTTCACCCGTCGGTCCGTTGGTAGCGTCAACGAACTCCGCTGCGTGCGTCCCGAGGTTTTCAACGCGAGAACCGTTCAGCCGTGCTCCTCTCGCGTTTCCGATCGAACGCAACCGCGTCCCTCAGCTATTGTGAGTATGAAATACTGAAGATTCCTCGGGAAGAATAGCACACCAGTGAACCACCAGAGCAACCGGACATCGTGTGAAACCATAAACATATCACACGAGGTTCAAGGCTTTCTGTGGGGAATTTAGTGTCGTCCATATAGTTAGAAGTGTGAACCTTTCGTATCATGGGGGCTATTGCTGTGCATTAAATCGATTGGGCGATATGGCGAATTTCACCATCCTGAACCGTGGTTGAGCTTGCTGCTTCAGGACACACCGCCCTGACCACAAAGCCTGTTTTTCAGCGATCGGGCTGCGAGGGGGTTGGTTTCGTCCGGATAGCTTCACGTGTGAAACGATCTCAAGTTGCGGGCTGTTCGGTTTAATCGATGGGCAATAAAACGAATTTAATGAAGGAATAATGAAAACACACACAGAAAGACTACCCATTCGAGATATACCCACAGTCGAACGGGATGTGGTGGAGCCTTTTCAGTGAGTGAAGGGAAACCGGCTGGGTACTGGACTTATTTCGAGTCTTTTAAAGAATTTCAACCATTATTGCAGATTAGGCCGCCCTGACCGCGGCAACTGCTTTCCAGCAAATGGGCAAATATTGATCGCGACTGATGTTTCTCTGTCACCACGCTTCTCCTTGTTCTCTGTCGATAGTTTTGAAGTGAGAACCACGTGACGCTCTTGATTGCTACCGAGGAAGCAAGCGAGGACATACAGCACATGCTTTTGCAGCAGCGGTGCAACCTGCCGGGTGTGCTGCGGCGATTCACTCCTGCCGAGCTCACTGGAGACAGTCTAGAGACCAATAGTAGGGTAGCTGAGAAGGGAGAAGGCAAAAGAACATGGAAACTAACACGATCACCTGGAGTTTGTCACCGCACACATGCACCAGGCGCGTCACAGTTCGAAGTGCCCGTACAGCCGCCGCAGTGTCAAATACATAGTTTCAGTATTGGGGCCACCAAATGAAATCAAACCAATAGGAAGGGCGCGGTACCACCAGTGTTCGAGCACGCCATCCATCTAGCAGGCTACTTACCTTGATGGACGGGCGAGCGGTAGTCATAATGAGAGGAGGCGGGGTGGAGCTTCTCTATCGACATTGGACACGGTGAAGGGGGGCACGCGGAGAACATATAGGCCGGCGTTGGGGGGTGATATGTTCCCGGCTGCGGAATAGCAGCGGCGCAACCTCTCCGAAAAGCTACGGAGACAGCCTCAACAGATGCTGTACCCAACACTCATGTAGACTTGAATTCGATATTTCGCAACAAGACAGGTGCCAGGTCCAACTCGACGTTGTGCCAATAAATGTTCACCGCCATTGGGGGTTCCGACAACGAATAAGCGCGCAACAAATCATACCAGTATAACGCGCAACAATAATATCAGCGTCTCACGTCTCACAATAATATCCAAAAGGGAGTTGCACCGCTGTACTGTAGGACGTGACCTGTCGGAGCTCTGCTGCTGTAGCCCGCAGTCACTTCGAGATACAGCATGCACGAATCAAGTTTCATGTATCCAACCCAAATCTTATGGTGTGTGTGTGTGCGATTCCCGAAAGGCGTACGTCGTCACAGAACTTCATAAATATATGTATGTGCGCTCGAACCCACAAACGGAGATGAATTGGCGGTATGGAAAGGGTGGAGGCCGACGGAGGGGTTGTATGGGAAAACATGGTAACACGAGGCTATGCATGATTTTCATCACAGGGAGGCCATGTCGACCTTGATGTCAACTGAGGATGGACATGTTAATTCCCTACTAGCCTGACCGCCATCGAAATGAAAAAGGATATGTTCCAAGGTGCACTCGAATGAACGCCGGGAAAATACCAGCCTATTGGGAAAAGCAGCGGTGCCTCGCGCCCGGCTTGCCCGGACTGCATAACGAAGACGTGCATAAGTCAGCGGTTGCCATTTCTAGAAAACATGCACAATACTTGAAAATCATACCAGCTTTGTAGAAACTTTGTTGAGCTGTCTTCGTCACGAGCGAAGAAAAATAGGAATGAATGTCATGAGGTAAAACAGATGAAGGATGTCCTCGCCCGCCGTCACAAAACTTGCGTCGCGACCCTTCTACTATACCTCCACATTTGCAAGAGCCAGCGGTAAACCTCAACGGCGAGTAGAGATGTTATGTTGTGTGGTTCCATGACCACCATGCGAGAGGTCGATCCGGTGGGGAGAGGCGAGGAGATGGAACGAATGAGAACGGACGGGAGGTGCAAGCGCTTGAGCTGGTGCAAATGTTCGCCCTCAACATTTCGCCGAGTTCGGGCGACCACCCTCTTGTTGAGATTGCGCCCCCAAACCTGAAGTATACAAAGTACGGCATGCATACCCAAAACAAAAACAAGCAACACCCCATACCCAATATCATATCTTGCATTCATTTGGTTGTTTCCCTTTCTCCAAAGCTTAAAACGATAAAATCCAACAAAGTTTTCATCGTACCGAGAATGCCCGTTCGAATCCTCGTGGAATATCCAAGGCCATGGTGGTGTGGAATTGAGTTGGAACGAATCACGAAAGAACCCAGTCTTCTTGTTGCCTTCGCGGGGGTACATGAGTCGGAATTTTTGGAAGTTTGCTTAGAAAAAACTGCTGTAAGTGCACGCGCGTTCCTATTTCGGTTGGAAAGTGAAAAGTGTCCGTCGGTGGGTAGGTAGCCGGAAAGGTGATCAGTGACTGCTGTAGCCGGCGGGTGCAATCAAGTGTGTGCAGGGGAGTGACCTAGGTGTTGCGATTACGACGAGAACAGGACTCGCTTTTGGGGACCTAAGTGAATGCCCGCGGGAGACCCGGGGATTTTCCACAATATTCGCCTGCTCATGGGTAACACGCTTTCCTCGTGGCTCCGAAAGTCATTCGAGATGAAGAGCCTTAATGACCAGGACATTGCACAAAAAATTGCACACCTGCCGGAGAGCCACAGCCAACATGTGTGCGCTGCATCCTCTTCGCGGTGCGCCAGTTTTCAACAAAATGATTAGCTCTCGCCCCTTGGGGCTCTGGGAGAGCGGGGTGTGTAATCTGGAAGAGACCCCTTTTTGCTTCACTGCCTAAGAGCACGCCGACGAATATCGTCAGCGTTGCTAGTCCCAAGCTCTCGTACATTTTTGGCTTATTGCGTGAGTGTTGCGGACGATGCCGCACTTTGCACGAAATGACAGTACACACAGCTACTTTGCACTTCGTACGGAACTACAGCACACAGCCACATAGCAGGCAACGTTGGAGACAAAAAACAAACGGACGGCAGGATGATTACATTCTTATCCATCTCTCCTGTCCCCCCTTCGATGGATGCGGCGTATTCGATGACATCTGTCCAACTTTGGCGAGGTCTACATACGAGTGGGTCCCTGACACACCCTTACTTACGCGAACACGATGAAATTACATTGGATGCTCGTGCATGCGACAAGCAACACGTGCCTCCCCCGCGGCGGCTACATACTACAACGCAGTCCGGTGACAGGACAGTCATTCGCAAGTGAAAACACTCTAACTGCACACTCGCGAAACGTCGCTCTCCCTACCCCCGCATTTCTCCCACCCCCCTTTCACACGCGCAAAAACGGGGGGCAGGGTGGCATCCATTGCATTTACACAACTTATTCCATCACAACATAAAACAGAACAACAGATAATACAACCGAACGACCACCGCCTCCATCCAATAATAGGTTCTACATAGCTCCGGAACAAAACAAACGGGTTCCCCTTTAAAAGGCTGGCGCTTTGGCCAAGCAGCTCGCTGGCTGCGGCAGACAAGCTTGCTTTACGAAAAAAGCCAAAGTCACAACAGCACACAAACGATTGGCATCATCATCCACAGCTTTCCGGTATCGCACGCTCTCCAATTCTCCAAAAACAGAATATAAGGTTTGTTTCAAGAAAGCGCCAGACTTCGCGCCCGGCCTTCCGAGCTTTGCTGAGTAGATTGTTCGCTTACAGTTTTTGTTCTAAGCGAGAGGGCGAGCTGCATGATTTATGAAGCTGAAAAATCACCCTTCTTCATTCACCACGCCCCAAAATCGATCGATCCAACGTATGTAGCTGCCCTCATGGTATCATCGCCACCGCCACCACCACCACCACGTTCCACTATCACCGCCGCGGAAATCAACACACACCGCCAACCAAACCCACTACAACACCCGCCGTCGCCGCCGCCGCACCCCTCCACAAAACAAAAAAATACCCCTGTTCTGAATAGAGCCGGTGGCCCCGTAGCATAGTGTCGGTAAAATCTGTGGACACACACCGGCACTAAATAGGGCCCACTACTACCCCAACAGCGACTATGTAGTTTTTTTTTGTATGCCTCTTGGCTGGGCACCTGTTCTTGGGTGGGCGGGACCGATGTCCTAGAACGGCAGGTCTCTCCCCTTAAACCTCCGCTTCATCGGCACCGCGCCTAGCCCTCCCCAAGCGTTGCAAGGTTCCCGCGCCCAAGTTCATCGGAGCCCCCTCCTCCCCGTGCGATCTCAACCTCTCCTGCTGCTGCTGCTGCTGCTGCGGGCCGTTGCGGTGAGGGTGGGGGCCCGGCGGACCGGGCGGGTGGGGACGGGGGTGGAGCTCGGTCCAAGACCCGGGCACGGCCCAGCCGCAGTTGGACTCCAGGAGGAGCTGGTTGTCTCCCCGCTTGATGCGGAACCAGCCGCCTTCTCCCCAGTACTCCCCCCACGAATTGCGGACGATCCAGAACCTACGAGATGGGGGTGGTAGCAGAAGGGTGGTGGTGGTGGGGGGGGTTGCCACGCCTTAGCGGTTATAGACCATTGACTGCGCACCACGCGTCCTCGAGAGAGGACGGAGGAGGGTTGTTCCCACAGGACCGATTAGACCAGGGGGTTTCTCGTGAAAAATCATACCTTATTCGCTGGAACATTGACCTCGATTTGTTACGATGTCGGGACGGAGCGACATGTATGCCCTGTTTTCGTCGGCCCAGGCCATAGTATCTGCATGTCACAAAGATGAACCAGAAGCTGGTCACGATCCTTTCGTTCTGCTGCGCCAGACCAGTAGCCATGGATTAAGGGCACGCGCTTCCAATCCCTTCTCCATTTCCCCCCAACTGGCTTCAATCCCCTTGGGCACCCAGAACCCGTCTACTGCAGAACAAGCTACGGGCTCAATAAAACCCACGGTGGCATACTGCTATTTTCCGAAGCCTCTTATTGGCGTCCAGTGATCAGGCAAAGAGATTTTGTGTATGCGTGCGTGCGCTCCAGCCACGTCCCAAGGGTACTACTCATTTCAATCTCCCGCAGCTGGCTTCAAGCTCACGATCTCTTGGGAAACCCAGAACTTGCTTCACATATATGCGCTCCTGTAGCCATGTTGTGCGCACGGCGGTCCGGTATGATACCCGGAGGGGTACATGTGCGATCTGAAAACTAGGGGGTTACGGAGCCCCCTCTGCCGTGGGCTCTGTGGTGTATGTCAACACGATTGTGCCCTGATGAACGCAAGCACGTCTTACGTAGGGTTGAATAGACGGGTATGCATGCTACTCACTTCAACCCCTCCTCCGTCTCCCCCCAGCCGGCGATGGCGACGACGTGGTCAGTTTCCGCCGGAAGCTCGGGGATGTCCACGATGCCGCCCTGGGAAAAAGCGGAAAAAAGGAAGTTGTAACTGCTGCTTTTCGCTTGGAGCAAACAGCTGACTGACAACAGAAAAGGAAAAAATCAGGCGTGGAGCGCGCCTTAACAGTGGGTTGGCGTGGCGTCCACGATGCCGCCTTGGGAATGCGCGGCAGGCGGCGAAATTGTAACTGCTGGCAGACTACCATTTTCGCAAACGGTTGGCTGGCTTCAACTCGACAATGCAGCACGAATGCTACAGGAAAAAAAAAAAATCAGGAGTGGAGCGCGCCTTAACAGTGGGTTGGCGTGGCGCCCACGATGCCGCCCTGGGAACACCCGGCAAGCGGCGAAGTTGTAACTGCTGGCAGACTATCGTTTTCGCAAATGGTTGGCTGACTCCAACTCGACGAGCAGCGCGAATGCTACAAGCAAAACAAAGTGAATACAGGCGAGGAACGCGCTCCAACCCTGGCCCAAGTTGTAACTGTTATTATCGACTCCAGCAACGGACTAGCAGTTCGAGTTGCTGTTCTTGATGTATTCACATCAAAAACCTTTCACATCTCTGTACTCAGTACTTTCCATCTGTCAATACTAGTCCAGCACTTGACGCGGTCGATTTCCGTGGTCAAAGGCTAACTTACCCAAAAAAGGTCAAAAAAATAAATGAAAATGGACCCGAAGTTGAAGTGCTACCAGCAACAAAAAATAATGAGCACAAATTGAGCAGCGCCCTTCAACGGTCTGCGCATGGGGTCGCAAAAAGTCATCAGAAAAGCGAAAGGCTTTCGGTTCCAAACCCGTCGCTTTCACCTCAACTGGCAGCTCGAACGCTTCCAGGAAAAGAAAGGAAACGAAGACGAGAACCTATCGCGCAAGCCCTCTCCGAATACAACATGGGTTCCCTTACCGTGTACTCGTGCAGGCGGGAGGCGGCGATGTCGCAGGCCACTGGGCCCCTCGCGAAGACCTCGGCCATGATGTTTTCCTCTCCCACGACGGTGCCGTACTCGGAGACGGTGGCGTTGGGGTAGCTCTGCACAGCCTCGCACTCTTCGTTAAAGCTCTGGGCAAAAATGACGTAAGCAAGGGACGGGAGGAGGCCTTTTTTACCAGGGGCAAGGGGATGGTCGTTTTTTACCGATAGCTCTGCGCTGCCGCGCACCCTTCGTTAAAGCTGTGGGGAAAAACAACGGAAGCAGAGGGACGGACGGAAGTCAATAGAGACGTTTGATGAGAAGCAAGGGGGCGGTGGTTTTTACCGATAGCTCTGCGCAGCCTCGCACTCATCGTTGAAGTTCTGAAAGAAAAAGAAGGCCAGCAAAGGGGGGAGGAGCTTGATGAGAGGCGTGGCGATGGGGTAGCCTCGCACTCATCGCTGAAGCTTGGAAAAAAATAACGAAAGCAGAGGGACGGGGAGGAGGCGATTGATGAGAGACGGGGGACTGTCGTTTTTCCCGAAGCATCGTGCAGCCTCGCACTCATCGTTGAAGTTCTAGAAATGAAGGACTCACGCTAGGGGGGGACGAATTTGATGAGAGGGCGCGATACTGTGTTTTACCGAAACAGATAGACCTACTACTTTACCAAAAGCAATTTGACCGTGGCAAGGGACGGGAGTGAAACAGAGGCGTCTCATGAGAGGTTCGGGGTTGGGGAACAGCCCTGCGCCGCTCTGCATTCATCGTTGAAGTTCTAGACAAAGAGCGCACGGAAGGGACGGAAGTGAACCGAGGCCGTATGATGAGAGGTTTGGGGTTAGGGCACAGCCCTGCGCCGCCTGAATTCATTGTTGAAGTTCTAGACAAAGAGCGTACGGAAGGGACGGGAGTGAACCAAGGTGTTTGATGGAAGGCTTTGCATTGGGGTAGCTCTGCACCGCCCTGCATTCATTGTTGAAGTTCTAGACAAAAAACGTACGGAAGGGACGGGAGTGAACCAGGGTGTTTAATGGGAGGGTTTGCATTGGGGTAGCTCTGCACCGCCCTGCATTCATTGTTGAAGTTCCAGAAAAAAACACGAAAGAGAGGGACGGGAGTGAACAGAGGTGTTTGATGAAGGGGTATTTTAGGCTAGCGTTCGGGGTACTGTAGCCCTGCAGGATATTGAACCTTGCGTGACTTATCTACCACGGGACGCACCCAACCTAAAAAAGGAACCCGGCTCGCCCACCAGGTCTTGCACTTGCAGATGGCGCCGCACGTAGTGTCCGCTGCCTCGTAAATAGGTACGAGGTTCTGGCAGTTGCCCTTCTGGCCGAGTTGTGAATTACTTCGAATATACACTGCATATTTCTCACTAACTCCCAGGCTCGCGGGTGCTCTCGCTCACGCAGGATGTGAAACCTTGCATGGCCAACCGTACGTTACGTAAGATACCACACCCCCTGGACCAATCTTCACAGCTCGACTGCAGTACTTCACGACGAAGAGGATGCAAGAACGAAACGACATCGCGTTTTCGGAACGCTGTCCACGAGACGGTTCTACTTCCTTGCAGGAACTCGCTCTCCCCAAGAAGGTGTGGAGCCTTGAGCAAGGTATATGACACAAGATAACACACTCCATGGAGCGATTTTTAAAGCTCGATTTATCGACAGCAGAAAGAGTCGCAGCGCCGAAAACGGCGGCGCTGAAGCCGTCTGATCGAGAGCTATCCGAAAACGCATCGTTTCGTTTACGTATCCTCTCGTCGTGGAGTAATCGAGCTTTGAAAACCGATCTAGGGGGTGTGTTATCTTGCGTCGTACACGGTAACCGATCCATTACGGCACACCCCTTTCGAAGGTACCGTAAGAGTCGGAGATATGGCACCCACCCCCGTGTTTAAGTAGCGTTTTTTTGTAGCGAATTTCTCCACAACTAGGAGGGTGCGGACACCAACCGATACCCCTCAGGAAAGCCCTCAACCAGATGTTCCCAAAATTACCGTAAGGTTGCGAGTCAGCGCGCAGGGGTGCGATCGAATTCCAAAGTCCAATTTCTCACAACCAGGATGTTCCCACTGCGGACAAGGGCGGCTTTGGAAATATCTCATCGAGAGCTTTCCTGAGAAGTATCAGTTGGCGTTCGCACCCTCCAGGTTGTGGAGAAATTACGCTTTGAAAATCGATCGCACCCCTGTGCGCTGACTCGCAACCTTACGGCACTACCCTTTGCAGTCCCCCTGGTTGTGGAGAAATACGTACACAAAATAACAACACAAACAGAGGGGTAGGTGCCATCTCTCCGACTCACTATATATTTACGTACTCGCTCACACGCACCTAGGGAATCGTATGTTGCCCGACGCTCGTTTCATGTTTTGTTTATGGGTAGATAAAAAAAGAGAGAAGTGTATAGGCTGAGACAAACTGAAAATAAGCTCAGTTTCCAGCCGGTTTCCCTTTCCCTCCACTCACTGAAGAGACAAAAGCACACCCCTCTCGACTGCTCTGGCTATATCTCCAACGGGCATTCGTAGTCTTTCTGTGAGGTCATGCATACTATCTAAGCAGGAGAGGCGATATCTCCGGCTCTTTGGTTTTACAAACTCGGACTGCTGTGCAGTAGTGAGCCCTGGACAGTTTCGGTTGAATACCGTACGTTGCACAAGATACCACACACCCCGGACCAATTTTCAAAGCTCGATCATTCAATGACAAAGAGGATGCCGAAACCAAAGAGCATGTTTCCGGAAAACTCTCGGCGAGACGGTTCCGGTGCCGCCATTTTCGGCACCGTCACTGGTTTTCCTGCCGAGAAATCGAGCTCCGAATCCTATCTTACGTCTAGCAGCCTGCGGTAGTGCCACAGTGCGGTAAAGTGCCGGTCAAATATCCGCACACCAGTGTCCACTCCCTTAGTAAAACCTACATACCCTATACGACACAAGACAACACGCCCCCTTGGACCGATTTTCAAAGCTCGATTAATCCACGACGAAGGGGATCCACAAACGAAACGATACATTTTCGGAGAGCTCTCGACCAGACCGCTTCAACGCCGTCGTTTTCGGCGCTGTGACTCCTTCTGCTGTTGATATATCGAGCTATGAAAATTGGTCCAGGGGGTGTGTTATCACGTACATGGTTTCCCTTTTTCTGAATAGTGCCGGTGTCCGGAATAGTGCCGGTGAAATCTCTGGGCACACACCGCCATCCAAAACCTACCACAACACCCGTCGCCGCCGCCGGACCCCTCCACAAAACCAAAACAAAACACTGTTCTGAATAGTGCCGGTTGCCCCATGTAGTGTCGGGCGAAATCTGTGGACACATACCGGCACTCAATAGGGCCCACTAATGTAACACAACAGCGACTATATAGTTTTTTTAGTCCACGCCTCTTGGCTGGGCACCTGCTGTTGCGTAGGCGGGACCGATGTTCTAAAACTCGGGGATATTTTTCGCGTTACCTCACAAAGTTACCCTTGTTTGACTTGTTCATCTACAGGCCACATCCAGCCTCAGCTAGGAAATCTTGTCGCCCTCAATTACCTCTAACTCTTAAAC